CCCCAACCCGCCCCCAACACCCTCATTACCCCCCCCAATCCCCGCTATTGCAATCAGACTTGCTTTCATTCACACTCTCACGCATGCAAACAGGTGCGCAGCAAACTGGCGACAAGCGCCCACTCAGAACTCAGAGATATGGTAACCGAGAGCCCAGTTCAGATTCAAGTTCACTTCGTTGGCTATGGCGACTCAGCGCCCAAACAACTCTCTGTTCGCATACACTGGATCACCCTGGATATCCCACACGCGACTCTCTGAACACTCACGCACACACACACTGAACTCCAACTACAGCTATGGCAGCTATGGCTGCTACTACCCTATCGCTATGGCTAACTCCTTCTCTCTTGCCCACTTCTCCCTCGGGCTCACTGCAGACCTCCTTGCACAAGTCGCTGGTGGCAGCGCTTCCGCATGGCTCACGCAGGAATGAATGAATGACTGGGCGCTGCCTCTTGATTTATACTTCTGCAGCTCGCCGGTCTGGCCCTTTCCCATGCCCGAAGTGCACACAGTCCCATTCGGTACTTGCTTGACTGGACAGGGACTGACTGGGGACTGGGACTGTTGACTCAGCACGGTAGACTTCTACCACTTGCCCACTTGCCTCAGCCGAAACGTGGGCAACTTCGAAAGGCCACTACTGGGACCTTCCGGAAGGCCGTAGACTTGGCCTTTTGTTACTGTAGCAGCTACGACCTTGACCTTTCCGGACTGTAGCAGCTACGACTCTTAGACCTGACTAAGACTCCTACTCGACAGGTCTACAGATCGAACCCCTGCGACCTCAGGACCCTATGACAGTCTACCACTGTTACAAATACATAGGTCACGGGTTCAACTCTAGGGGTCGACACAGATACTAGACACAGGTAAGGTGGGACCTAGGGATCGAGCCCTGGGATCTGCATCAGCTACTGCGACTTGGTGAATACCGTTTCACTATATCACCCCTATACCCCCCTATACCCCCCCTATACTCCAACCCCAACCCCCCCATACCCTCCCCCATCCCCAAAAGTTTCTCAGCGGATTTGGGCTGTACTCAGCAAGCGCAGTACAGCCCCCAACTCAGATTTGAAAAAAAATCAGTGGATGGTTGTTTTCTGACTGGTCGGCAGACCGCCGACCGGTCGGCCCTACTGGTCGGCTGCAATACGGTTGGCGGTCAGGATCAGCATTCGGCAGGGATGCAACCCTGTTCTTAGTCATATTAGTACATCTACAAAGTTGATGAGTCTACCTTACCTATCTTGTTTGGCTTATCTTATCTTGCCTGGCTTATATGTCCTTATCTTATCTTGTCTTGTCCATATCTTATTAGCCTTATCATACCTTGCCTAGCCTCATCTTATCTTGCCCATCTCATATGGCCTTCTCTCATCTTGCCTATCTTTTTTTGGGGGGAAGCTGTGGCTGTGACACACTTTTTGTTGGAAATAGGCAAGAAAAGACGAAGTGGTGCCGGTGTCATGTTGTGAGTTTCGAAATGTGCAAGTTTAGCGGGGTCTAAAACTGCACCAGTCATTACCTGCTGTGGCGCTTGGCAGATTTAGGGTCGCCTTTTTGCTCCATTTCGGAAACTGCTAAAGTTGCCTATTCTGAACGTTGGGTGTGACTCCAACGTACTTGCCACCTTTTTTTTCCCTTTTTTTTTTTACCATTTCTCAATCTATGTGTCTCATCCTTGCACAGGGGCCATGCTAATCTTCTCTGCATTGTTCCAATTGCAGCAGATGTCCCAAAAGACTGTGCCTATCTTGCCTTAGCTGATGAACTTAACAACCATCTCTCTCTCTCTCTCTCTCTCTCTCTCTCTCTCTCTCTCTCTCTCTCTCTCTCTCTCTCTCTCTCTCTCTCTCTCT